CTAAGGATGCTACATCACATGAAATTGGCGCGCGAGTCAAGCATCTCATCGTCTTCAAGGCTTCGTAAGCCATCTTCACATCACGCTCGCACGTACAAGAGAGACATGTAGGTAATAGAATAGAAAGACGTTTATTAGTCTCTCGTTCCCAGTGTGAGTGGGGAGGTTGGCATCAACCGTCTGCATCCGATGTTTATGTTTATCCGGAGCACTCAGCGTTGTGCGTGCCAGGGCAGAGCTTGATCCCGTCGCTTCCACTGTAAGCAGTGTCCTTGACACCAAAGTTGCCGAAGATGGTGTGATCGGTGCTGTAATCGTCACCTCCGCCAAAGTTGTCACCATAGTTCCACTTGGCTCCCTTGTTGCCGCTGACCCTCTTCTGGTTGCTGATGGTAGTAGTGGGCCACTCGGAAGTGAACTTTGGCTCATGGGTGCCACTGACTGTCTCTAGGAGCTGTTGGAATTGCACGACTTCGGAGAACTGGAGTTCAACAAAATCAAATCAGAGACAAACACATGCTTCCCACTCCAAAGACAGTCATGCATGCATCATCATCAGCAGCAGCCAGCAACAGCAGCAGCAGCAGCAGCAGCAGCATCATCGTCATCGTCATCGTCATCGTCATCGTCATCGTCATCGTCATCGTCATCGTCATTATCATCGTCATCGTCATCATCGCCATCTTCGTCTTCATCTCCATCATCATCGTTGTCGTCGTCGTCATCTCCATTATCTCCATCATCTCCATCATCTCCATCATCTCTATCATCATCTCCGTCACCTCCATCTTCGTCACCACCATGCGTCATCATGTATCGATGTAATATCCCTCCATCTTTCATCTCACCATTTTCTCAGTGGACAACGCGATACCTCAGCCTCGCTCAGCAGCTCGCAGTTACCCTACCCCCTTCCGAATCTTGGCTATATTTCATTATAAGTTTTTGTTGCATCGGACCTTTCGGACCCCCCACGTTCCCTGCTTGTGACTACCCGAGCACCCCTCCGTGGTCACTGGTGACTTCCAGATGACCACCCTACTACCCCCCCGGACCTACCGTACTGTGCTCCACTACTGTGACTTCGGTTTTGCCGAGTAGGTATACATGGACCTTCACTACCACCTTCCTAGGACCTTTATCTGTATGCATTGGATCTATTTCGAGAGTCATAGCGGAGGGCGACGCTTTTCCGAGTACCCTTGTACCCCCCGGTCACCCACTCTTCTGACCCCTTATAAACAGTCACGGTCCCGATCAGGCTTGGGCCAGTGGTCTGGCCCGGGGGGGCACCCGGTGCGGCGGGCCCCGGCCCCGGCCGGGCGGCCCGGGATCGTGTCCGACTCGGACTGCGGCGGATGCGTTGAGCTTTCTGCCGGTGCCACTGGCGGATCGCTCGGCGAACAAGGAAACGGCAGTGCTCGGATTTCGCCGCAAGCCTTCCCGAGTCCCGGTCCCGTCAGTACTCATCCGCGGGGCCCGTCAGTCCAAGATCACTGAGTCCGGTCAGGCTTTCGTCGGCGCCCTCAGTCCGGGCCGGGGGGTTCATTCTCGCTGTACGGACGCCGGTACGCCGCCGGACGGTCGCCTCACGGTTTCTCTTCTCGCCGGCAGTCACTGTGGCCTCACGTACGGCCCGCCGCCCGCCGGTCCGACCCTCACGGCCCGGCGTGCCCGTACTGATTTGAGTAACTCAGTTGGCTTACTGTTAACTGAAGGGCCGCCGCCCCGCCGCGGCGGCCCGGCCCGGCCGCGGCCGCCGGGCCCGCCTTGGCCAGGCCGGAGTCAGTCACGCGGCCGCCGGTTGTGGCGACGCCCGGGGTGGGCACGGCGGTCGGAAATTTGACTCCCGGCGACCGGGTCCCGCGCCGTGACTCGCAGTGAGGCCGCCCGGCCAACCGTACGGTGACCGTGAGTGCGGCGCGGCGGCGCGGCCGGGGGGGTGGGCCCCGGCGTCCCCGCCGCCGCGGCCAGTGCGGCCAGTTCAAGGGCGCTAAGTGCCGATCAGGCGTCCGTCCGACGGCACCCGGCGTGCCCGTAATGATTGAATGTAATGCGCAGTGCCGGGGCCCACTGCGTGTCGGACCTGCCAGTGGGGGGCGGCCCCATGGTCTGCCGTCTGGTATTGAAACCGGGTGCCGTGACCGTTCATTCTGTTCCTTCAGTGCTGTTTACTCAAAGTTACTGAGTTAAAGATCAGTACTAGGAGGACAATCACTGCCGGAGAGTTGAGGCCCTGGCCTGAGGCTTGACCCTGACACTATCTTGTTCCTCACGGAGTCAAACTTTCACAGTGAAGTCAAAAATCAGTTTACCTGTGACGGACTCGACCGGACCGCCGAGCCTGGGAGTCCGACGAGTCTCGAGCCGCTGCCCTGAGAATTTCAAGTGGCAGCGGAGAAGCCTCAGAAGTTCAGCTGGGCTTGCGAAGCCCGGGGCGCTGATGAAGTTCAATGCTGCTACCGGGATCGGATTTTGAAGCATCTCTAGGGGCGTGCGAGACTGCTTCCTCTCCATGACTATGAGGCAGGTGAGGAGAGCTACGCCAGAAGCTGCTACATCACAGGTCTATGGCGTTTACGCAGTCCGGCGAAGCGAATGCTCATGAAACATCGAAAAATCAAGAAGCAAATGTGAACTGGAAGGGGTTTATTGCCCGGTCGATGCTAGGAAGGAACAGGGAATAGAGAACACATATGAGCGTGGAGGAGAGGAGCCTGAGGGGAGGCACGTACTGAGGGTCAAACGAATTGTAGCTTCTTTTATAGTCCAGCTCCCCAAGAGACAGAGAATGTTGGATCTTGTCCCAGGCTTCGATCCATCTCACAGGAAATGTCCATGTAACTTCCTTGCTTGGAGGCAAGAGGGAGACAGACCCGTAGCTTCCAGTGTCCTAGACCAGGTAGGGTCAATACGTCGATGGGACCCCAAGGAGATGACGACAAGCTCCATGGGACCCCTGCTGTCAACCAGATAGCATTGGCACGGCCTTCAGTAGTGTATCTGGACCTGACACTCTCTCAACCTCGTTCTCATCACCGTCCCTTTATCAACCATCTCACCACACCAACTACCTCCTTCAATCTCACTGTTACTTCCCTCACCTACACTATGAGCTAGCTGTAGTCTATGCGCCTGGGCTTGTTTCCAACGTTCCCCTTTTCTAGTCAAAAAGGAATCTCACGACCCGGCAGTTCTGCCCGACTTCGCTGACCGAGTTGGTCGTGAACCCACCAAGACAAAACTCATCAATCATCACACCATGGAATCCTTGACATGCTGGCAATCATACGACCTGCAGGCACACATACATGAGAGCCAAGCCGGTCTGCCGAGCCACAGCTAATACACATCAAGGCATGCGATCTGACACTCTTGCTGGGGTATCGGATCATTGCGTTTGATTGCTTGATTGTGCGACGAGAGAGCCAGACAGCGGAGGTTTGAGGGAACATGATCCTTCTATCTGAAGAGCCTGTTCCTTGTTCCTCGTACAGGCTAAAGGAAAGGCAAGGGATAGTGCTTGCTGCTGCACAAGCACATTTGTCAAAAGAGCTCTTGCTTCTCACAAGCTGGTGCTGCTGATCCTGCAAGGATTCAGGGAGGCACGGTCTGTACCCACAAGGCTCTGAGAGCAGCCAGGAGTAATCCTTGCGAGTGTTCGTTATGAGCTACCTTGATTAGGTGTAGTAGTAATACTTGGGACTCACAACACATGTATCGTAGTCAATGATGAAGTTTGATATGATGGATAACTTTAGTCTTGATGGGGTTTACTATCTGCAGTCTTCACTGCCTTTACAATCTCTAGTCTTGATTTGGTTTACTATGTCTAGTCTTCATCGTGTCCTCTCTTGCTATCAGTCTCCCTTGACTTTGATTCTCTCTGGGATAAATCTCAAGTTTGACAGTCCTGGAGGTCAATGGCTCGCATGCAGCATCAACAAGGGGAGCATTGCTTCGCAGGGCTGCTGCTGCAAGTGCCAAGTCGACTGAACATCTGCAAGAGCCTTAGCGCAAAACTTGATGCAGCGACTGCAGAAGCTGCCGGAGAGCTTCGAGAATCTCCATCATCATCATCATCATCATCATCATCATCATCATCATCATCATCATCATCATCATCATCATCATCATCATCATCATCATCATCATCATCATCATCATCATCATCATCATCATCGATCATCATCATCTCAATCAGGAAGAACGCCTGGTATAAGGATGAGAAGGCGGAGAAGGTGGCGATAGTGATGGTGGTCGCAATAGTGAAGGTGGCGATAGTGATGGTGGTCGCAATAGTGAAGGTGGCGATAGTGATGGTGGTCGCAATAGTGAAGGTGGCGATAGTGATGGTGGTCGCAATAGTGAAGGTGGTGATAGTGATGGTGGTCGCAATAGTGAAGGTGGTGATAGTGATGGTGGTCGCAATAGTGAAGGTGGCGATAGTGATGGGGTGATAGTGATGCTCGTGATGGTGATGGGGGCGATAGTGATGCTCGTGATAGTGATGAGGGTGATGGTGATGGGGGCGATATTGATGGGGGGGATGGTGAAGGCGGTGATGGTGATGGGGGCGATAGTGATGGGGGAGGGAGGTGGGGAGGGAGAGGGGGAGCAGGAGAAGGAGGAGGAGGGAGAGGACGAAGGAGAAGAGGTGGTGACGCAAGTTGAGTCGTTGTTGTTGTCTGTGCTGGTGGGGGAGAAGGAGAAGGAGATGGTGGATTAGGAGGAGTCGGTGCTGATGGTGATGGCGGCGGCAGAGGAGATGGTGTTGAGGAGGAGGAGCAGGGTTGAAAAGAGGGGTGATGAGGAAAAGAAGAGTAGGAAAGGAGGACGAGGAGGAGGAGGAAGACGAGGAAGTAGGAGGAGGAGGAGAAAGTGGAGATGAGCAGGAGGAGGCAGAAGGGGAGAGAGAAGAAGGGGGAGAAAGGAGGTAGGAGGAGCGCAGCAGCACAAGGGGGGAGGAGAGGCAGAGAGAGGAGGAGGAGGGGGGGTGGAAGGAGGAGTTGATGGGGGGAAGGAGAAGCAGATGAGGGCTGGAGGAGGAATGGAAGAGGGAAGAGAGGAGGAGGAAGAAGGGAGGAGGGGAGGTGGTGTTGGTTCAAAAACTGAAGCAGAAAAAGTCCAAGGATGAGGAAGAGGAAGCAGGGAGGAGGAGAAGCAGGGAGGAGGAGGCCAAAATGATCTTTTTGGTTTCTGAATCAGCAACAGCATCTCCATCACATCATCTTCTAAATCATATTCTCTATCAATATCATCATCTCAGTCTCCATCATAATCATCATCACATTCATCATAGTCTCGATCATCATCTTCTTCAGGTTCATCATCATGATCATCATTTTTATCAACATCTACTCCGTTATCATTTCTATCAATATCTCCATCATCTCCATAACATCATCGTGATCATCTCCATCACCGTCATCATCATTGACATTATCAAATCCACTATTTCCCAACTGGCAGCACCTGCCGACACCCACAACAAGCTTCGCGCAGTCATCAGTGATGATAGCAGGCAAGCAGACATCAGACTCTGTCTCGCAGCCATCGGTGCTGTCGCCCTTGCGAGTATCACAGTCAAGGCAGGTCACATCGACTGGTGTGTGCTTGTGTGATAACGATTGCTCGAGTCAAGCATCTCATCGTCTTCAAGGCTTCGTAAGCCATGTTCACATCACGCTCGCACGTACAAGAGAGACATGTAGGTAATAGAATAGAAAGACGTTTAT